CCAGACCTCCGCTTTTCCTCTTTTCTCTGGGGGATGAACTGTCCCTGTTCTTGGCTAACTCCCTCCACTTACACTGTGGGTACTGTCCCTTCTCACTTACTCAAGCATGAGGCTCCAGAAATTCTCCCCACTCTTTCCTCTCTCCTCACCATTATTCGTTCCTCACTTGAGGATCATCCCATCATCATATGGACATCTGGCTATCCTCAGTCAAGTTTAGTATAGGCAAACCTTGCAAGCCAGCAATTCTACTCTGGGTTCTAACATCCCAAATAAAATCTTACCCAGCTAAGGCAACCTATAGAAGGATGCTCATGGCAACTGCATTTTTTAAGGAGAGCGGGAAGCATCCCAAGAGTTTGTCAAAGACAGGAGGGGAACCACAATATGAGGGGTGCATACCAGGAAGCACTGTGCAGTGGTTAGAGGTACACCTCAATACACAGATCCAAGAAGCTCAGTGAACCCCAAGAAGGAAAAACAAAAAGACAAACACATGCAGGAACAGCATGGTCACGCTGAAGAAAACCAAAAATAAAGAGGCAATCTTAAAAGTAGCTAGTGGGGAAAGGGAGACTCTACAAAAGAACAATAAGAAAAACACCTAACTTCTCACAAGAAATTATGTAGACCAAGAGACAATGGAGCAACACTTCATATTGATGAAAGGAAAAATCTGCTAACCTAGAATTTTATATCCATTGATAATATCCTTCAAAAAAGAATGTGAAGTAAAGGAATTTTCCAGTAAATCAAGCATGTCAAACTCAAAGGCTAACACAGGCCAAATAAACAAGGTTTAAGTTTATGTGGGCTGCAAAAAAACAAAAGCTTCAATTTCCATAGAAATGTAGATTTATTTCGATAGAGACATGCTGAATACAAAGGGCTGAAATAAATGAGACATCATTAACATAAAATAGAACATTTTAATAAAAATTAATATTTTTTCTTGAACATTAACTTACCAGACACTGAATAACTGCACAAATTAATAAGTTTAATGTAAATAAACCTATTTTTCTTGTTCTCTGAAAGCAAAATGTTTCCTGTTGCGCACACCAAACAAGTCAGTCCAAGACTAATGACATGGCAATCAGCTGCTAAAACATTCGCTGCTAGTATTAGTGGAGAGAAATGGTGCGCCTGCACGTAAGGGAAATGAATGCAACATGATTATAGTAATTAGTCATTAGCAAACGTTGTAGTTCGTTATTAATAATTATGTATAACAGGATATTATAAAAATTAAGTTATGAAATTTTTATGAAAACATTTCCAACATACCATTATATTGGCTGGGCGGCAAAAATATCCGTTGTGGGCCGTATGCGGCCCACGGGCTGGGAGTTTGACATGCTTGTAGTAAATGAATGCTAGGGAGTTTGTGGCCAGCAGAATTGCATTACAAGAAATGCTAAAGGAAGTACTTCAGGATGACGGAAAATGGTATCAAATAAAAATCAAGATCAGCAAGAAAATAAGAGGAAGCTATAAGAGGAAATATTTTGAATTGAATTTTTGAAAAGATAACATCAAAATTTGTGGCAAGCAGGTAAATTACTTAGAGTGAAATTTAAAGCATTAAATACCTATTTTAGAAAAGAGGAACGTTTCTAAATAAGTAAGCTTCCCCCTAAGGCTAAGAACAGGCAAGAATATCTGCTCTCTCCTCTCCTATTCAACATCACGATGAAAGTCCTAATCAATGCAAAAAGGTGTTGGGTGGGGGAGGAGGAAGAAAAGAAAAAAGAAAAGAAGAGAGCAAGGATTAGATTAGAAAGAAAAAAACAAACTATCTTTATTTGCAGATGACATGATTATTTATGTAACTAATCCCAAATAACATACAAAAAAACCCTCTAATAAGTGAGTTTAGCAAGGTCACAAGAGATGTTAACACACAAAATCAGTAACATTTCTATAGATCAGCAATATACAATTGGAAACAAAAATTTAAAAACAATACTATTTGCAATTGCTTGCCCCACAAATGAAATACATAGGTATAAATCTAACAAAACATACACATAATCTGAATGCTGAACACTACGAAATGCTGATGAAAGAAACCACAGAAGACTGAAATAAGGGAAGAGACAACCATGTTCATAGATTGAAAGACCCAATATCATAAAGATGTCAATTATTTCCAAAATTTACGGATTTAACAGAATTCCAATAAAAATCCTGGGAAGATTTTTTGTAGATGTACACACAATAATTCTAAAATTTATATGGAAGGGCAAGGAACAGAGTAGCTAAAACAGTTTTGAAAAAGAATCATGTGGGGGAAATCAGTCTATCTGATTTTAAGAGTTATTATATAGCTACAATAACCAAAACTGTTAGGTGTTTGAGGAGAGATAGACACACAGATCAATGCAATGAAACAGATAACAGATTTTTGACAAATGTGCAGTGGAGAAAGAATACTTTTTTTTAATAGATGGTACTAGAAAATTAGACATCCATTACCAAAAAATGAACTTTGACTGAACATTATCTATACTAATAAAAGGGTAACATGCTAATTAGACCAGGAGACCTTCCAGACAAAGCCATGGTGGCGAGGCCATGACAGAGGCAGTTAGGGGCGATCAGGCCAGGAGGGGAGGGCAGTTGGGGGTGATCAGGCCAGCGGGGGGGGGGGGATGACAGTTGGGGGTGGGCAAGCTGGCAGGGGGGGCAGTTTTGGGGGTGATCAGGCTGGCAGGGGGGGGGCAGTTGGGGGTGAGCAGGCTGGCAGGGGGGCAGTTGAGGGAGATCAGGCTGGCAAGGGGGGACAGTTGGGGCTAACAGGCCGACAGGCAGAGTGGTTAGGGGCAATCAGGCAGGCAGGCAGGTGAGCGGTTAGGAGCCAGCGGTCCCGGATTGCGAGAGGGATGTCCCAGCTTGGAGAGGGTGCAGGCCAGGCTGAGGGACACCCCCTGTGCACAAATTTTGTGCACCGGGCCACTTGTATCGTATACAAAAATTAACTCAAAATGAAGCACAGATTTAAATGTAAGACATATAATGATAACACTTCTGGAAAAATAACGTGGAAGAAAATCTTCATGGCCTGAGTTTAGGCAAAGAGTTCTTAGATATGACATCAACAGCAAAATCATAAAAGAAAAACTTGATAAACTGCACTTTTTAATGAAAAAGTAAAAGTTTTGCTCCATAAGACAGACTGCTAAATAAAAAGATAAACTACGGACTGGAAAAATATTTACAAATCACATGTCTAACAGAATTTATAAACAACTCTTAAAACCCAGCAAAATTAATAAATGGGCAAAGGACTTGATCAAACACTTCACCCAAGAGGATCTACAGATGACAAGTAAGTACAAATAAAGGTATTTAACATCCTTTGCAATGAGGGAAATCCAAATTAAAACCATAATGATATTTAACTACACACCTATTAGAATCACTTAACTAACAAATACGGACAACGTCAAGTGATGTTAAGGAGCGGAGGAACGGGAACTATACTTTGTTGGCAGGAATGACAATGGTGCTGACCTTCTGGAAATCGGTGTGGCAGTTTCTTATAAACATACACGTACCACATGACCCAGAAATCCCACTGCTGCTTATTTACCCAAATGAAATGAAACCTATTGTATTTACACAATAACTTATGTAAATATCTAGAGCAACTTAATTCACAATCATCAAAGCTGAAGATAACCTAAATGCCCTTGGACCAGTGAATGGATTACTG